TCAACGGACACCTCCCGGCAGCCCTCCCAATAGACTAGGCGGGGCTTGGCAGAAGTACGTCGGGGGGAGAAAATCGCACTGGGGCCTGGCTGGTGGGGGTCCAGGGTCCAATACAAAACACACGGACTTCAGAGAGGGTTTCAGGGCTGGGAAGGGTCAGGACGGAGGGGCTGAACTGGGGAAATAGGGCCAGACTGGGTGCCAGAGGGCAGAGCTGGGGGACCAGGGAGTTCAGGCGGACGTCCCGAGGGCAAAGCGGAGGGACCAGAGGGTTCGAGCGGACGTCCCGAGGGCGGAGCAGAGGGACCAGAGGGTTCGGGCGGACGTCCCGAGGGCGGAGCAGAGGGACCAGAGGGTTGAGGCAGGCGGCCCGAGGGCAGAGCAGGGGAACCAGAGGGTTGAGGCGGGCGGCCCGAGGGCGGAGCAGGGGAACCAGGGGATTCAGGCGGGCGGCCCTGAGGGCGGACCAGGGGAACCATGGAGTCCAGGCTAAGGGGCGAGACGACCTCTCCAACAGGGTACGAGGAGCGGGGCTAAAGCCAGTCGAGGACAACGTAGACATAGATTTTGAAATATGAGGGGAATAATGGCTCCTACGCATATATAAGTTATAATGTTACAATTTCATCTGCCCATTATGCTTTACCGTTTGTTACGGGCACCGTTAAATTACGTCTATGTTGTAGGTAACGGTTTTACCACTCGATGTCACTGAGACTAGCTGTAGATTAAGGTTTCATAGTTATCACCTAATCATAATTATTTCCTTGTATAGGTCCCTTTTTGTTGTTTTGTTGCTATTTTTAGCCGTTAGCCTCTTCAGTATTGCAAACGTTGAAAGAGAGAGAGACAAACAGATGACAAAACCGTAATAAACTGTTTAGAATAGTGCAGTTCACTGATTGGCCATGGGATGCGTAAACGTAATTTTCTGCGACACTGTTTTGATTAGTATGGACTTTACGCCAGAGTAGCTAAGATGCACCTTATGTCTCGGTGGTGCAACCAAACATCGACACAACTTAAGTCTCAAACTAACTAGTTTCAACGTATTGTTTAGTGTGGACTTTGCACCCTAACTTAAGGTAGAACTTACGTATTGCTGGTGCAACAGGCTGCAAGGGGCTAGCCGGCTGGAGGCCAGGAGGGACAGGCTGGAGGCTGGAGGTTAGCGGCGCTTGCGGGTTGGGGGTCAGGACCAAACTGGAGGCTAGTCGGCCAGGGATCAGGCTGGGGGCTAGCAGGCTGGGGGCCAGCGGCACTAGCAGGCCGGGGAACAGGCCGGGGAACAGGCTGGGGGCTAGCAGGCCGGGGATCAGGCTACCTACAGCGGTCCCTTGCATGCACTGACTGGAGGACTTTTGAAAGTGACATGGATTTGAAAAACTGAGGCAATAACTGACTTCAACAAGTTCTGCATGACAACCACAATCCCAGTAAAAACTGTAAGAAAATATCCCTTCAGACCATGGATGAAACCAATTAAAACTCAAACTCAAGGAGAAACAACAAGCAAAAATTATAAAGGCTAATCTATCATACAAGGACAAATTAGAACAGGATTTCGGCAGCATGAACACCAGACAGGCATTTCAGAAAGTTAAAACACTAATTGGCACCACGTCAAAAGCCAGCACTCCTGCACGCACTGACCCCAACTCATTCACTAGAGACCTAAACAACTTTTATGCCAGATTTGACAACATGAACTACACCACTGCGTGAAAAAGATTGCTCAGGTGCCTACCCACCCCCGAGCAGCCACACTTTGTTACAATATGCATTAGGCAATTATCCAAAGAAAGAATTAGAGAATGGATTATTGTGTTACTGATGCTCTTCTCATTCATATTTAGCTTTAGTTCAAGCAGACGCAGGACCCAGCACAGGGGAGCTGAGCCAGGAATAGGCCTACTCAGAGCTGAAGATGAGTAATTTGATTTTTATGCAAACACATACACGCTGCTCTATTTTACGAGACTGCATTTTAGTTTTTGATTAATATATTTTACTATTTTAGCATTCTGACTGATTCAGGCTTGCCTGACCTGGTGTTGTTCAGTGCAGTGGTACCTTGCTTATACAAACTTGTGTCATAAAAAGTTTCTTGAAGGTCTTCATCGTAATGAAATTGACCGCCCCTGGCTGCTCAAGAACTGTGCCCTGGAGCTCTCAACTGTTCTACACTCAGTTTTCAAGGAATCACTAGTAAGTAGCAACTGTCCCCACACGTCACCTGCTGGTCAGATCAACATACTGCCCCCACTTTCATGTGCGGAATTGCATCTCGCGGACGTGTAGCATTAATTCCTGGGTACGTGCACAACCTACGCTCCAAAGGAACGCAGGATACGCGTGGCAGGCATCTTGTGTATACAAACACGTACGTCGTAAACTCTCCACCACTCACTGCCCCATCTCCATAAACAGCCAGCCAATAAAAATTGTTGACAGCTTCAGGTACCTTGGCATCACTATGGACAATAAACTGAGTTATGATCACCACATCACAGACATCCACAAGACTTTTTGCCATATGTAAAGGACTCTCAGTCAAACCACACCTACTGCTTCACCATGCTCTCTCTCACCAATAGGAATACTAGTAACACTTCCTCCAAAATAATCAGTCTTTCCCACTCCCAATCTGCCAGCCCTCATTGACCCCACTTGCAGAGCAATTACCATAATACAAAATCCCAGCCACCCTCTCAACTCATGCTTCACCCTTCTCCTCTCTGGCCATACAGACAGATGCTATACAAAAAAGCACGCCTGGGGGAAAGTTTTGTACCCTGCGCCATAAGAGCGTTGAACTCACAGACAAGTTCATGATGCCACTCTGTGCATAGGGGAGACCGGGTATGGTTGTAACACTTTTTGCTTCAGCAACTGTAACTCACTGAAATTTCACAGCTAGAGTTCTAGCGCTAGCTAACTAGCACTTCCGGTCTGTACGGGACACCCCAGAGTGTCTCAGAGACGGTGCGTCTCACCATAACTACACTTTGTCACCCTTTCTCAAATTGTCAGTATATGACGCCCTGAGATGAGAAGGGCTGAGGGCTCGAAGTACTGGTCACAGTGCTGACAAATGAATGCTGGTAACCCTTGAGTGTAACTCAAGTGAACAAGCCATTCAATTGTTCCATTAACTTCTCACAGAATGCATTCATGTGTAGTTACATCATCTCTCTTGTGTACGTCTTGTAATTCTCTACTTCAAACAACATTTTAATACACATTACCACCTGTAAATAAGTGCATCAAGGCTACTATAAAAATATAGTGCAAATTACAGCAAAACTCAACTGGATTTAAAGCAAGCAACATACCACCTGCATTACTTCTGTGCTTACACACTTCACTTCAGATCAATTAATACAGCTATCACATACAGAGAAATATAAACATTTTCAATGATACAAAACCTTTTAAATGTAAAGCCACTGAGCAAAAATAACTATTACAGGGACAATTCACCTTTAACTGCACATAACAAAATATTAACATCCTCCACAACAAATAAGTAGCCTACAGCTCTGTAACATTTCAGTGTTTTAATATAAGGCACTTCACATTATACCATATTCTTGACTTAAATTCTCATGTTGTTTTATTTGCAGGAGCCCAAATAAAATACTGTGCAAAGTAGATACTTTTCTAGCGTTGTACCTGCAAGACTACCCTCAGGTAATATGAAAACAGCCACCCGCGATGCGGCAACTGCCAACCACGCCGCGTCTGAACCTGCCGCCGACTATGGCGGAGTTTTTAATGTTAAAAAATATTTTCTAAACACTATCAAAACATCTTTATAACACTAACATCAAGCATTTAGATGTCGATATTGACAAGTTTTATCAATTACTAACCTGTAAAATACAGATGACATTCAGAAGCAATGAAAACACAGCGTGTTCAGTTCGTCATCCGGATCGCATCTGAGGGGTGGACCGAAGTTTCCCCCTGAGGCTACCTGGAGCGCACCTGCTCCTGTGACAAAAGTTCCGCCTGGGCGCTGCTTCAAATTAGCCTACCACTTAAATTCACCATTTATACATGAAAATAAAATAATGTGATTGTCATTCACAGTATTTAGGATAATATAAAGCCCTGCGGTTTTGAAAAAAATTACTGCTCCGCTATTTACTTTAAATAAACACAAAATGGTTGCACAATTTTGGGGTGCATCACATGTGTATAGCGGATGGTTGTAACACTTTTTAAAGTTGTGTTACAACCCACCCCACCCCAGTCAGCCAGTGTTTATCTAGGTGTATTAGCATAGTGGTTTGAAATTAGTAAGAGAAAAATGCATCACATTTTGCCTAAGAAACTACATTTCAATCTAATATAAGTCAAACAATTCTATCTGCAATAGTAGGCTATAGATACTAAACAAATATAGTCTTGGTCAAAAATTGTACTTTTCCTCAAAATCATTTTTTTCCTCTAGGCCTATGTATTCTGAATGTACCTCTTTCCAGACTTGGAAGTGGGTAAATAATGAAATGATCACCTAACGCCTATCTTATCTCTAATTGGTGGAATTGGTGTTACAACTCTCCCCATGTTACAACCATACCCGGTCTCCCCTATAATGTGTAGGATGGAGACTTTGTGTGTAGAATTCATGTTGAAGGTGCTCTTGGGACAGACTGTGAAAACAAATTTCCTACTGAGGACAATAAAGAATTATTCTGAATCTGATTTGCTCTGCCAGTTTAAATGGCGAGTCCATGAGCGCACTCACATTTTCTCTGGCACTTCGTACTGAGTCTGACGATGAATTAGACCAAAACTACAGATTATTTCAAAGCCACGAAAAGGGAGCTACAGCGGAGTGAGATCATATGAGTTCACACCGAACCAAAATGTCAGCCGCGGAGGTTGAAACCACAAACTTTTATTATCACTATTAAAATCATTATTGTGTATTTGTTGTTATTATTAAAATTCACCACGCCACTAGGCCCCAGAGCTAATTTTCGGCTTGCACGCGTTTCCGCGAGTTGCGCGCTGCTCTCTTTAACAGAGGCGCACTGCGCGTTTACGCACGACTCCAGTGACACTGGCAGAGAGCAGAGTGCCATGATCGTCATTGTGTGAGCGTTTTGCTGCCACCGCTGCAAGAAGATGATCCTGCTGTCTGGTCTGTTGCTCATTCTCTGGGGAGAACCGGGTCGGTGCCTGGAAGAGGGAGGAAGCTTTACATTTCATGGAGATTTCCGCCACATCGCCGTGGCCACCAACACGGTTTACATCGCTACAGAGGAGAGGCTGTACCAGCTGAGCCACGACCTGACTCTGATCCAGAGTCTGACCCAGAGAGGAATCTTGAAGGTGGGGCCTGAGTCCGGTGATGAGCAGTTTTACCGGGTTTCTGAGACGGATGAATGGAACGCAACTTTCGGTGTCAACATATTATTGCCGTTCGTTGAGAACAACGCTGTGATCAGCTGCGGTGTGATCAAGTGCGGCTACTGCGAGCTGCTGGACCTGCAGAACATTTCCAACGTGCTGTACAGGGAGCACATCCAGGTGGGACCCGCAGGGCGCAGCAACGCGTCCGTCGGCTTCCTGGTGGAGGTGGAGAAGACTCGGACCCGGCCCGAGACTTATATTCTGACTGCCTTACAGCAACCCGACAAAATCACAGAGACCAGCTGCCTCTCTGAAACAGCTTCTGTGAACCTTCATAATACGAACAACAAGCAGACGGGAGAAATATTTTCCATTAGGGGGGAGAATTATCTAGCTAAGATCAAACGTGAAGGCGAGGTGGAGTTTGTGGATGGATTTCAAAAGAATTTAATCATTTATCTTTTCTCCAACGTGCCATCAGAGGACAAAGGCAACAAAGTCCGTCTCCTTTGGCTTGAGGGAAAAACAAGCAAAGCAGAGACTCTCAGGTCGCTGCGGGGCGCGACTCTCAGTATCTCTGATGGTGGTAAAGGCAGCAGACTCGTGGCCTCCTCGGTGATCCCGGGTGGGCCGCCGGTGCTCTGGAGCGGCGTGTTCAGTGTGGACGGAGGACAAACCGACACCGAGCTGGTAGTGTTTGACGTCAGCCCTGATCTCACCGGAGCGGCCGATGCGGATCCAGACTTCTGCATCACCTGTCCTGAGAAGTCAAGATCCACGGTGGGTCCTGATATTGTTCATCTTGAAAGTTTCTAGCAAGTTATGTTTCGCTGACTTCTTACAAAATAAAAGCAGAACAGTTTTATGTGGGGCCATTTAGCCATTGCTTTACTGTTAGGTTTAGTTTTGCATGCTACATAGGCTATGTCTAAGAAAAAGTGAGAGGTCAAAATAGTTAGCCTAAATAGATTTAGCCTAATTACTTTTACTTTGAGACATCTGGCAAAAAATACACTCTAAAAAATAAGACATTGGGTCAACAAAAAGATAAATGTTAATGTTTTCCAACTATAATTTTTAAATTAAGACTGCATGCAGAATTACATTAATTCAAAGCAATGTTTTGAGTATGGTGAATTACCTTTTAGGCCACAATAAAAGGCAAGTAACATGAACTTAATAATTGTCAACATGAATGCAAGTATTTAAGCTGATCCAACATAATGTTTTAAGTTAGGTGAAGAAGCTTTTTGGCCACAATAAAACACATTTCTAAGTAACATGACCTTAATATTTAAGTTGATCTCTGCAAGAGTTGTGTGTTAGCAAGTTATCTTTAGTATTTCTTCTCATCTGAATCATAGTCTAATCATGTCTAGCTAATGTTAGCCAGCTAACTGGCTAACGTAGCTACATGTAGTTTATAAACGTAGCTAGCCTACATGCTAACCAGAGCGGTGGCTAATGGGTAATCCCATATTAAGTTAGCTTGCCAAGACGTTTTCCCTAGCTACCTGGCCAACTATTACTGCCGTATTTAAGTCTACTCAATCAGTGACAGGCTACAGCTACAAGCTAACTTTACCTTGGCACACACACTGTAGGCCTATTATCAACACTGCTCAAATTTCAGAGTAAGGACTTCCAGATTTCGGTATTTGGTTACAGGCTATTACCAAACAGAATCCTGAGCGAATGCAAATATGTGTAATTAAGCATAAAATTACTTACCATTCACTACATTACGCTTCAATGAGTTTCAGCTGTGGCCCTGTGGTCATTAGTCTGGAGAGGGAAACTGTGGGCCGTTTACACATCATCAAATTGTATTTTACATTAACAGAACTTAAAATTAAATTATTTTTTGATTAACTAAAAATGTTAAACTTGTGTTTCATCCAAGCTCAATAAAATAACAATTACAAGTAAAAAGTCTAACAGTATCTCAGAACTTGATTTTTTATTTCACAACAATATATATATTTAAGTAATGACTAAAGGTCCCCTGAATTAGTTCACCTGGCACTTCCATAATCAGTATTAGACGTCATGAGTCCTGACTGAAGCTCCTTAATATAGCAACACTCATCTAATGAAGTTATGAGTAGTGATAATTTAATATGAAGTGCTGTCTGTATGTTTCTAACCTCTGAATTCATAAACACCATTTGGATCTAAAAGTGATATGTGTGTTTGTGTCTCAGCCAAAGACTCTGAAGCCAAAGACGATGCTCTTCAGACAGAACTACATGACCTCTGTGCTTGCAGTGAGACAGAAAACCTGGCTGCTTTTCTTCATTGGGACAGGAGATGGGCAGCTCATTAAGGTGTGTATGAGAAGTTAAGGGATATGCATTCTCTCCATTATTGGAAAAAATGTAAATGATTATCCAACTAGATAATTTGTTCTAGTCATTAAAAAGTATAATTAGGCTAAAGTAACTTTAAGTTACAGTGATGTGAAGAAGTGATTTTTCACCAGCTAACTGCTCGTCATATTATAGATAATATATTTTAAAATAAATGGTAAGCATGTAAAGATGCCCAAAATGCTTCTGTTATAATTATATTTGGGAACTATACTGTATTACTACCTCGTTCTTTAACTACTTTTATATTTAAGTGCAGGGGGTGTTTTAAGATTATTTCAGTCTGGAAGTCTTTAAAATTTTCAGTGTCTGCAAAATAATGTCCAACTCTTCATTGAAAATCACTGGCCTTGCTTTTTTATGTCCTCAGTCACATCACATCATTAATCTGTTTTGTCTTCCTTCCATCACTGAGATAAAATTCATGTGCTGCAGAGCCTCTTTAACACATTCACGCATCCAGGATGGGATTTCACTGAGGCCATGAAGGCCATGGCCGCCATGATCCCTCAGTTTGGCTTTTTGTCCCCCCAAAATTTAAATGCCCTACTACCACATTGGCCTTGATGCACTGCCTCATGCTGATTTTTGTCTTTTGTTGAGATTCTGAATTCTTATTGAGTTGAGGTAAGAGTTTTGAAAGATCAGCAAACATATAAGAAGAAACTAGAGTCGGACTGCATGGCCACAGGTACAGGTGTCGTGCCGAAAAGTGTCTGCTGGAGCTGTATTGCCCAGTCACTTTCTGGCAAGTGAAATAGCCTACTGCATTTTTGGGTTGTATTGGCCATTTAAAGGTATTTTAAGAGGTAAAAAAGTACTAGCTGAGCTATAATCTGTCAAATAGAACTCTTCTGAATGAAATCATCTCACTTCAGGGCAGAAATAACCTTTCAGTCAATAATAAAAGGCTTCAAATCATTTTCTGACAAGTGAAATACTGCATTTTAAGAGTTGTATCGGCCATTTAAAAAGGTATTATAACAGGTAAAAAAGAGTGGATTGCTTGGTAGGCCTACAGAACAAAGAAAATAATGCAGAGTCATAAGGATAATTGCAAAATTGTCTTCATTTTATATATAAGTTCCGTACGGCTCCGGTGACGGCTTCTTACTCAGTTCAGCCAGTGTCGGCAGTAGCCTATAAATGCCGTCAGCTCACCTCCGATGGCTGGCTTTTAACCACCTGCGGTTAGCTTAGGGACCATCAATAAATTACAATTGTTAAAACCGTGTTAGGAGAAATTCATCATTCATTTCAATAGAGGGTGTGCGCATGACGTCACAGAACGCAGTTACGCTCACTGAGTGGCAGAAAGAGGAGCAGCACTTAAAATGAGGGTGTGGGGGAAGCGGAAACTTGAATATATAGGGGCGTGTTATTCTAATGACGATCGTTTTCAGCCGCGGCATTTACCAAGGGCAGGTATTGCGTAGGCCTACACCTGGATTTCAAAGGTACGCACAGCTTCATAAATCACGCGGTGAGAGGAGTGTAAGCATAATCTTACGCCAACATATACACCCGTTTCTACCAAGAATGATAAATGAGGGCCACTGTGCCTGGTCATGGATAAACATTATAGCAGATTTTTAGTCTGATTAGCATTATTTGTCTGCACAAGTAGGCCTATAATCCAAAATTATGAAGGCCTTATCATTTAATCATGTTATTAAGTTGTCCGGTAATAAGGGTGATTTACATCATTTAAGAACATCAGCATGTGAACATTACAAGGTTCAGGAAGGGACGCAGTGAACTGAATGGAGATAAAAGGCCAAATGCATGTAATGGTATAACTGAGAGGTTGTCTTGTCACCACATGATTTTAACTGTGGCAGGAAATGGAGCTGTTTGTACAGAGGTTGTCATATATATTTTAACTAGGCGTTGAACACAAGTGTTAGTTACAGACTGAGGTGTTAAATGTTAGACTTTTCAGAACATAGTGTTCTCATAAGCAGAATCATTTCAGTGATTTGAAAAAGCCAAAGACAGCCAAAGAGGTCGGTGTGTTTACCAGAGAAACTACAGCTCACAATCCGCTGTGTCAGAACCAGTTTGATTTTACAAATAAACCACAAGGAAACACAGACACAACCAGAGCTACACACACTGACAATAAATCACAAAGACGCAATATTAAATATCTATATAGTTCAGTCTTTATGTGCGTGACTTGAACTAATTCAAAATGTACTTTTCCCATTACTCAGCACTGTGATAAACAGGGCTGGTCTGTTGTGCTGGATTTCTGTATAGTTGTCTGTATAGTGGGCATTAATTAATGAAAATGTTGGAAGAAATTGTTATATTCTTCTGTGCCCACTCTAGGGCTCTGTACCCAGCAGCTCAGTCTCTGAAACATAACAAAGCTACATTGTTGTTGTCAGCTCGCTGTGGACAAGAACTATCACACCACCTGTCCCAGGGTGCTCTACAGGGCCAGTGACGACCGCCAAGTGTTCCCCAAAATACTTCTGGATCAAGTGGACCATAAACATGTCTATGTGCCATTTCAAAACCAGGTAGGTGAACTGTACATGTATAAACAGTCTTTATGTTTGAATTTACAGTGTCGTGATTTAAGCCATGCTTTCAAAGTGTTGTTGAATGTTTGTGTTCTGTTCTAGATTAAACGTTTGCCTGTGTCAAAGTGCAGCACATACACAAATGTAGCTCTCTTCGTGACAACACAGACACAGGTCAGTTCTTTGCAACGGGCGTTTATTGCTGTGGGCACATCGGGTCTCTTTGGTACATCCAGCCTCACACCATGTACGCCTTGAACGTCGTATATGCCTTATACGCCGTGAGAACTACATTGTAAGTGAACACAGTACAAATAAATCAATACATTATAGCTTAGCAGAGAAAATACAAACAACATCCAGATCAATAAAGACAATATAATACCTCGTTGGCCGCTTGTCGTGAAAAGAGGTTACTAAGTTCTTTGAAGTCTCTTGAATGTCCATTTGGTCGTCTGCATTAACTTCAAACCACATTTTTAACTTTAATGCAGTTTAACAAGCATCGGAGCTATCTGCTCCGCCGGAATTCAAGGCAGTGAGTGTCGACTTAAACCGTTGTAGCGGTAACACAGACAGAAAACATTAGTTCCGGGACAAACGTAAATATACAGAATGAGATAGATACACTGTTAACCACATATCATTTAGCAGCTTATTCTACCCTTTAGTTCTTAAACATGTATTACATTTTATCTTTACACCAAATTAAGTTATATTTGTTACATGAAATTATAACAGCAATATGAACTGTGCATCATGAAAACACAAGTATTTATGCAACAACACTTACACTCCCACCAAATCCCTAATTAACTTGAAATGTAGGATTTCTATACGTGGAAGGTCAATTAAAGGTGTTGTAAGACTGAATGAATGTAATCTTGTGTATGTGACTCAGTTAGATTCAAGTAAGGTAACTACTTTGTGAATGGGCCTTTCGAGGTAGATTCTTTTAGTTAGTGGCTGTCCTTTATCAGTAGTGTCTCCGACTAGTAGCTTCAACTTCCGCACCATACTGTCTGCACTAGGGTGAACTTCTACGACCCTGGCAAGCTTCCATTCGTTTCTTGGAGAGCTGTCATCTTGTAGAATCACAATGTCATCCACTTGTGAATTCCGTGTTGTTCTTTGCCATTTCTGTCGTTGTTGAAGGTTTAGCAAGTATTCCCGCTTCCATCTTTGCCAGAATTCATCAGCTAAGAACTGCACTCTTCTCCAACGTTTGCGCAAATAGAGATCTTCTTTGCAAAACTGCCCGGGAGGGGGCAGAATAACTGATGATTTCATCGTTAGAATATGGTTGGGTGTGAGAGGTTCTGGTCCATTGGGATCATGAAGATGTTCAACACTTAACGGTCTGCTGTTGATTATAGCCATTGTTTCGTAGAGAAACGTTCTCAGCGATGTGGTGTCAAGTCTGCTTGCGGATTTGTCGAGCATAACGGTTAAGATGCTTCGGATAGTTCGAATTTGACGCTCCCAAACTCCACCCATATGACTTGCTGATGGGACGTTCGTTACAAATTCGCAACCGAATGCTCGTTGACGTTCTTGGTCAATTCCTTTAAGCAATTCAGAAAACAGTCTCCTGGCACCCATGAAATTTGTTCCCTGATCGCATCTCAATTGACGCACAGGTCCTCTAATAGCTACAAATGTTCGAAGCGCGTTCATGAAAGCGTCTGTTGTTAAGTCGTCTAGTGTTTCTATATGTACTGCTCTGGAGCATAAGCAAGTAAACAACAATCCATAGCGTTTCAACTCTTTCCTTCCTTCCTTTACGATGAAGGGGCCAAAGCAATCGAGTCCGCAATAGGTAAAAGGAGGGGACATTTCTGTTCTCTCTTCCGGGAGATCTGCCATTTTTTGGACTTCTGTGGCTCTTCTGTATCTCCTGCAAGTTACGCATTTATAAATGTGTGAGGAGACAGCACTTCCGCAACCAAGAATCCATATTCCATTTGCGCGCAGCTCGTTCATGGTCATGCCTCTTCCTTGGTGATGTACACGCTCGTGATAGTGTTTGACTAGAAGGGCTGACACATGAGATTTCTTCGGAAGTATTGCCGGATGTTTTACGTCATGGTGTAAGGCTGATCGAGATAATCGTCCTCCCACTCTGAGAACATTGTCCTTATCCAAGAAGGCATTCAGCTGGCGTAACTTGTACGCTTGTTCAGGGTGTTTTCTTTCTGGAGCTTGATTTTCTGAATGTCTTCAGCAAAAGCTTCTTCTTGCACCAGCTTGATAATAAAGATTTCGGCTTCTCTTCTTTCTTCAAGGCTAGTTGCTTCCTTTGTTCTTGGCTGATGTCCTTTGAATTCTCTGATGAATCTCTTTAGCCTAGCAGCCGCTCTCACTGCTCTGGACCAGTCCGAAAACTTTGTAAAGCGCTTCACCAGTGAATTCACCTCTTTCATCTTGACTGCATGAACATGGGCTTTGCGAAGCTCAGGATCGGTCATTTCAACTTCTCCCACCATTTCCTCTTTACATGGAAGATTCTGCTGCCAAAGAAAGTCAGGTCCTTTCAGCCAGTTCGACTCCTTCAACTGAACCGAAGTCAGTCCTCTTGAGGCATGGTCGGCTGGATTATTTCCAGAGCTGACATGTCGCCATTGTTCAGGATTCGTGCTAGCTCTTATACGTTGGATCCGATTGGCTACGAATGTGTGGAACCTCTTTGCATCATTGTTCACATAGCCAAGAACCACCTTCGAATCAGTCCAGTAATACTCTTCTAAGTTCTCAATCTCAAGCTCCCTTTTTACAACATCGCCGTTGCGCACTGAAGTCACAGCTGATGACAATTCAAGTCTCGGGATGGTCGTTAGCTTGGTAGGGGCTACTCTTGCCTTCCCCATGACAAGTGAACAACTGATCTGTCCTGTTTCACTTATTGCTCGGAGATAAGAACATGCACCGTATCCATTGAGACTTGCATCTGAAAAGTTGTGTAACTCATAACGCATGACTGAGTCAAAATGTGATGGAAGGTAACTTCTTGGAACATTCAGTGCTGCCAGGTGTGGCAAATCCTTAAGCCATAACTCCCATCTTGGCAGAATGTGTTCGGGAAGATCTTCATCCCAGCCTACCTTTTCTCTACATAGCTCTTGCAGGATCTGTTTGCCGACTAATATAAAGGGGGCTACAAACCCTAACGGATCGTAGACAGAGGCGACTGTAGAGAGAACTCCTCTTCTTGTCAGTGGGCTCTCTTTAACCACGACTCTGAATTTGAATTCATCAGTTTCGATGCACCACTGAACTCCAAGTGCTCGCTCGATGTGAAATTCTCCTAAGGCCATATCTTGATCTTTGGTCTGTGCACGTTCTTCTGGTGGTATTGCGGCGGTTACTTCCTTTTCATTGGACACAAACTTGTGCAGCCGAAGATTTCCTGTTCTGCACAAGGCTCTAGACTCTTCCACCAGATGAATGGCTTCATCGATTGTTTTTACGCTTATTAAGCCATCGTCAACATAGAAGCTTCTTTGGATGAACTTGATGGACTCCTCGCTGAACATTCCATGACCCTGAGATGCCAGATGTTTGAGTCCAAAGTTGGAGCAGCCAGGGGACGATGCTGCTCCAAACAAGTGCACTTTCATTCTGTACACTGAGGGTTTCGAGTCCAGATCGCCTTTGTCCCACCAGAGGAATCTTAAGTAGTCTTGGTGTTCCTTTGCGACATGAAATTGATGAAACATTCTTTCAATGTCGCACATAATGGCTATTGGACCCTTTCTAAATCGAAATAGTACTCCGACTAATGTGTTGGTCAGATCTGGCCCGGTCAGAAGATGATCATTTAGAGAGGTTTCTTGGAAACGTGCTGAACAGTCGAAAACGACACGGATCTTCCCAGGTTTGTGGGGGTGATAGACTCCATGGTGCGGAATGTACCACACTGATTGATTATCGAGTTCATTCCATGGGACCTTCTCAGCATCTCCTAGAGTTATTATGTCATTCATGAAACGGACATAATCCTTGTTATACTGCTCATTTTTTCTCAACTTTCGCTCTAAAGAGGCGAGCCTTCGAACAGCACATTGCTTATTGTCTGGGAGATTAGGTTTGTCCGTCTTGAAAGGAAGTGGTAGTTCGTAGTGGCCATCTTCCTTGTGCTTTATACCCTTCTCTACCTTGGACAAGAAAAGAAGGTCTTCCTGAGAAACGAGGTTGTCATCCGTAGTGTGATCTGCGAAATCGAATTCGAGAACCTTGATGATGTCTGTTGGACTAATCTCTTTGACCTGAGTTCTGCAGGCAAAGTGTACTTCTCTCTTTAACTCAACTGATTGATGCACTGCAGGCGTCACCTGTCGCACTATGATTCTATGACTGGTTCCTATTGCATCACTGCAGTCACTTTCTAGATTTGAGCAGCCGACTATGCTCCAGCCGAGATCAGTTCTCTGCGCGTATGGATGGTTCTCTTTGCCCGCCAGGATTTCCCTTGGTAGAAGAGCTTGCTGACAGTTATAACCAATCAATAGGCCTACTTCGCAGTCCAATGGTGGTGGAATCTTGTCTGCTAATTGTTCCAGATGAGGCCATTTTAGTGCTGTTTCAGAGGTTGGAATGTGCGATCTGTCGGCTGGGATAAACTCTCGTGTGAAAAGTGATGGTAATGGAATCCTTTTCTCTAAGTTGTATCCTCTCACTTGCAGGTTTGTTAGCTTTTGACAGGGTATGACTGTCGACCTTGTAGACATTGTGGATAGTCGCAAACTGACATTTTCTTTGTTTGTGTTGAGCTCCTGGGCCACTTCATCTAGAATAAAGGTTGTGTCGCTCTGTGTGTCTAGGAGCGCATAGACAAGAACTTCTTGATCTGGTCGTTTTGTGGATGAGATCCAGACAGGAACAATTGAAGAGGTTTGTGTGCTTACGCCGTCTTGTACGACTCTGTTTGTGGTTGCAGTTGCAGTCATCTCTTTGATGTTTGCCTTGTACTTTAAGTGTTCTTCTCCCTTTAGAGGTGATGACCTTTGACGTTCACTGACCTTGTCATCGTGCAAACATGTTGGATGTCTCCTCTGGCACCTTTCGCATGTGTTCTTGTTATCACATCTTCTCGAATGATGACCAGCCTTTAGACATCCAAAGCAAAGCTTCTCCACCTGTACAAACTTGACGCGCTCTTGAACTGTCTTTTCAAGGAACCTTCTACACTTGGCGAGAACATGCCCTGTTCTTTTGCAGAAACCACACGATGGAATGCTGCTCTCTGTTGTGTTTGTAGACAGTGTTTTAGCTTGTATGGGTTGGTTTCGTGGGTACCTTGGTTTCTCACTTTCCACATTCTTCAGCGCCTGTACCGAAGATATGGGATCACAAGCAAGATCTGCTTCCTTCGACAGAAATTCTACGAACTCTTTGAACGGTGGATACTCAGCTCTTGTTTGTCTGACTTCCATTGCCTTGCGATTCCATCTGGATACCAACCAGTCAGGCAATTTCAGTAGGATTTTTTGACTCTCATTGCAGTCGTTCAGAACTTCCAATGTTCTAATGTAGGGCATTGCTGTTTCACAGCTCCTAAGAAAGTCTGCAAATTCTCTTAGTTCAAACCCATCCTTAGAGCTTATTTTTGGCCATGCGTGCAGCTTGTTTCTGAAGGACTTCCCAATCACGAAAGGGTCTCCGAAACGCTTTTCCAGCAGCTGCCAGGCTGAGTCGTATGCTGATTCCGTTCCTAGTAGGACAAATCCTTCTACAGCTTTCTTTGCAGCGCCACCAAGGTACTTTCTAAGGTAGTACAGTTTTTCGTTCTTTGGAATGTTTTTCCTATTGATTAGCGCTTCAAAGGATAATTGCCAATCTTTGAATTTCAAAGGATCTCCAGTGAATAATGAGGGCTCTGGAGTTGGAAGACGATTAGCACTTATAGCTTCTGCTAGAACGTTGACCAAATCAGAGCTGTTCTGCACTTGAGGTATGGGCACTAAAGTTGATGGGGCTTGAGATACCAGTTGAAGGCTTTGTGGACTATGAAGGGCTTGCATTGTAGCTGGAAGAGATTGAGGAATGAACGGGGTGTTTGAGGCAAGAAGAGTTTGTGATGCGACTGGTAGGGATGGAGGACTGAATGGGGGACTTGAGGCATTGAGAATTTGTGATGCGACTGGTAGAGATGGAGGAATGAATGGGGGACTTGAAGCATAGAGTGTTTGAGGTTCTCCTGCTAATGCAACAGTATGAGGCAAGTCAATCGCTTTGAAGTTTTCTTCGATTTGGTCGTAGACCTTTACTCGAGCTCTTGCGGCATTCAGTTTCTTCACTTCTTCAAGACGTTCGAGTTTTCTACGCTGCTCTTGCATCGCTTGCTGTCTAGCAAGGTTCTCAGACTCAAACTGTGCCAGTCGTTGCTTATCTTCAACCTCTAACCTTTGAAGTTCTGTCATTTCCTTTTCTTGTTCATCCAACACCGCTAAAACCTCCTGCGATGCAGCAGCTTCGGCAGCAGCCTCATGTTTTTTAAGCGAGTGGAAGCTAGAGTTGACAGAACCACATTGTGATTGATGTGACAGTGGTCTTGATGGAGAACATGTAGAGTTCAGGATCGATCCAACATCAGGCCAGGGATCTTCTGTTGTGATGCCTTTAAGATGCCTTTCTGCCTTTTGAATGATAAATCCTGACAGCGATATACATGTGTCTACTCTACGTCGCAGTTCTGCTTCAGGAGCTTGGACTCTACGTAATTCTTCGTAAACCATCTTTACATCAGAACACGTAGCTTTCATGTTCTCAATTAGCTCATACAATTCGTCTTCGGAGGCCTCATCATTCAGTATTTCTTTGCTTGTTCTTGCGTGATACCTCCACTTCTCATAGAGTATTCTATACCGACGTTGTATGCTCTTTAGCTTTTCTTCTTCGAATTCTTTTCCCTTTTCTGTTAGGGTTCGGGTTCTTTCGCTTCTTCGTAGCCTTTCTACATCTTCTGTAGCTCCAATGTCTATAGTTTCGGCTTGAGCAGATGATTTTCTATTCTCATGACAGGTCTCAGGACTTGAGTTTGACATTTTGGGCTGTGTGTAAGCTACAGTAGGCTAAGTGTGATTAACTAGGAAATTTTAGTAATTATTTGAATCTTAACAGATGTGTGAAGACAGTGAGCGAAGTCTAACTCTGAATACGTAAATGTTGTACCACAAACTGTGTCAGTATTTAAACTTGTTTAGACTTCAAGTTAGCTTAAACTAGGAATTAGTTTGGCAAAACACAAACCTTAATTAACATAAACCTTAATTGTGAATTAAATATGCTCAAAAGGCATCAAAACACTTGTTTTTACACTTGAAATTGAAAAAACATCAATGAAATTACTCTTTAAACTTAGCTTAAGTTATACTTTAACTTCTGTTACCTTTCAAAGTATAAATAAAGAAAATAAATTACAATGTACTTTCCTTTAACCTTACTGAAACGTGTTAATTTGCTTAAGGGGCTTGAACTTTCTTCCTTTTAGATTTGTTGCATGTAACAATCATGAATACCAGCACATTAGATATTTTCTTAAACACAGGCTAAACAGTATGCAAGGGTAATAGACTTAAATCCTTAACTGCAATTTCCAAGTTAAACCACTTCTCACACCACTTGACTTAAGATGGCTTTGGTAGAGCTCTTTCTGGCCTTTATACGGAAAGTCGCACCTTTTAACAAAGTCTTATAACATTTGCTTGTGGTAGCTATGTCGACAGTGTGTCCTGGGCTTTGCTTATCTTACATGCTGGATCTTCATCACGTCGTTACCCGCCGTAATCTCGTCTTCTCTCATACCCGCGCCGAGCAGGTCGAGTTCTCACTGTAGCTCTCTTCGTGACAACACAGACACAGGTCAGTTCTTTGCAACGGGCGTTTATTGCTGTGGGCACATCGGGTCTCTTTGGTACATCCAGCCTCACACCATGTACGCCTTGAACGTCGTATATGCCTTATACGCCGTGAGAACTACATTGTAAGTGAACACAGTACAAATAAATCAATACATTATAGCTTAGCAGAGAAAATACAAACAACATCCAGATCAATAAAGACAATATAATAATACCTCGTTGGCCGCTTGTCGTGAAAAGAGGTTACTAAGTTCTTTGAAGTCTCTTGAATGTCCATTTGGTCGTCTGCATTAACTTCAAACCACATTTTTAACTTTAATGCAGTTTAACAAGCATCGGAGCTATCTGCTCCGCCGGAATTCAAGGCAGTGAGTGTCGACTTAAACCGTTGTAGCGGTAACACAGACAGAAAACATTAGTTCCGGGACAAACGTAAATATACAGAATGAGATAGATACACTGTTAACCACATATCATTTAGCAGCTTATTCTACCCTTTAGTTCTTAAACATGTATTACATTTTATCTTTACACCAAATTAAGTTATATTTGTTACATGAAATTATAACAGCAATATGAACTGTGCATCATGAAAACACAAGTATTTATGCAACAACACTTACACACAAATGTGCAGGACTGCTGGTCTGCACAGGATCCATACTGTGTCTGGTGTGGCTCTAAAAGAAGGTCAGGGAAACACCATCTGCTGCTGACATCTTCAAACTATTATAAACTTGGTTAAAACATCATTTTCTCTTCCTAGTTGCACATTTGAAGATGAGTGCCGAAATTTAGACTGGTTGTCCATTCCTGATGACTCCCGTCAACGCAAAATGGTTTCCTACAGCGTTGTAAAGGACAGCACTGGCCAGGTACAGGTTACGTCCAGGATTTGAACTATAATCAGTTGTGTCTGTCAGTTATTTCTCTTTTAAACTCACATCCCTTCCTTTCTCAGATCACACTTAGCATCCAGACACACCTGACTGTGGGCCAGAGCGCTCTGTCTAACTTCGCCTGTCAGTTCTCTGCAAGCTCCAGCCAGCTTTGTAGTGCAGCAAACAGTCCTCCACGGTTCCCACAATGCACCTGCGTCCTTACAAATAGCACACTTCCTGCTGAAGGTCAGTGACTTTTGATAAATCCGGTGAATGAAATACCTGATAATCAAGGACCTTCACACCGTCACAAGAATCCCATCAGATAAAATGTTCTCGACCTGCTGATAAATCTGTGTTGCCTCATGTTATATATTGTTTATTGAATAAAAACACGTGTATTGCAGGAACTTGCTGACCACTACTGTAACATTCTCTGGATTATTTTCACTTAACAGGCCTAAATGTCACTGTTAAGATTAGATTTGGGATGACACAATTGTTGGAACAACTTAAGATATCCAACTGCTCTGACATCAGGGGACCACCGACTCCTGTCCTGTAAGTCCACTGCCATTTTCAAGAAATCTAAGTGGACAGATAATTTCTAACATTAGTAATGGAAGATAGAGCTGAAAAAGTTGAAAAAACATAATCAGTCAGATGCATCATTGATGAAATTGTAAAAGTCCTGTTCCCATGCAGTTTTAATAGTTAACATATGCAAGCAACTTAAATTTGAGCTGAAATAATACAGAACTGACTTTGATCATTTCAGGGTAGGACTTTAAGACAGAAATGTTTATATAGAGTTATAAGGTTCCCCAGGAACTGGAGTATAAGGCATTGAACAAAATGTCTGACTTTGGTCAGACAAATGGGTCCTGATTATACCAACTGCATCTGTCAATTGGGAGAAAGAGTTATTGATAATAAAAAAAAAAGGTTTTCAAAACATTCCCAAGCACTTATTATGCCAAAACTAGAATAAACCATCAAGACTAGAAGGAACAAAGAAATAGTTGGCTGCAATTGGACTACAAAGTGAGAAAGCCGTTTTCAGTTTTTCCAAAACTGTGTCCAAATTCAAAGGGAGTGACGAATACCTGGGTGGCCTTTTGGTCTAACTTAGGCAAGGGCAAGTGCTGCACTCAAAATGTCCAGTGATGAGAATTGTAAAAAGGCAGCAAAGCCACATTGTGGTGCTAATAGGAAATGAAACTAGCAGCTCTGATGACAAAAAGAAAATAAAAACAATACATAATAAACAGACTGTGAGGTATAAAGACAAAAAGGCAAAAAATAATTTTACCCCTCCTCCCATATCCCTCCACTTAGTCTCATACAGTCGTCATGGTTGTAATGGTCGTGTTTCTTCATCAGGAAGAATATACAGTATAACTATCTTGTGTTGTATCAAGGCATTATGATTCATGTTCGAATGTTTTCAACAACAGGTGATAACATTTGTTTTCTCTTCAGGTGTCGGCAGTGTATCGAGGCTGGATGTGGCTGGAGCACAAACGGCTGCTGCTGGGCAAATCAAGGAGTGGGGAATGTAATTATGTCTTTTTAAATGTATTTATCTAATATAGGCTTTTCCAGACATCGTGCATGTATGCTAACTTTCCGTGTGCTATATTTGAACATGAGTTTAACAGCACAACATTCATTTTTAGTCTGTTAATGACACCAGAACAGCTGCTCTGAATTTCAAATATTTATAGTTTATAAAATTATTTCAACAGACTGTCAGCTCAGCACCTGTCAGCAACAAATGTTTAAATGTTCTCAAAAATGACTCTGCTTCTGTCTGGAGAGGCTTCAGACAGTGGCCACAGTCCACCATCTCATCCCCCACCTCCTCCTCCTCTCTTACCATCCTGGAGAGTTTCTCAGTCATCCAGGTCATAGTTATCCAAAGAGAGACTTCTTCAGTTCTGGAACTGAACTACCAGAACTGAAAAAGTATCTCGGATGAGGGACGGAACGTCTTCTAGTATCTTCAACCAAGTCCAGTTGTCCTAGACATTAACCTTCTTTGGGCATCCTGGAGAGGGATGTCAACAGACTGTTCAGGAGGCAGAAACCTCGCAAAGCAGCTGGGCCGGACTCTGTCTCCCCATCCACTCTGAAGCACTGTGCCAATCAGCTATCTCCAGTGTTCACAGACATGCCATGTGCCAGCCTCCTTCACAACCTCCACCATCATCCCTGTCCCCAAGAAACCAAGGACCACTGGACTAAACGACTACAGACCCGTCACCCTGACCTCTGTGGTTATGTAGTCCTTTGAGCACCTTGTGTTGTGCCACCTAAATCCATCACAGACCCACTCCTGGAGCCCCTGCAGTTTGCCTACAGAGCCAACAGGTCTGTTGATGACGCATAAAAAATTGGCCCTTCACATCATACTCCAGCACCTGGACTCCCCAGAAACTTACGTCAGGATCCTGTTTGTGGATTTCAGCTTTGCTTTCAACACCATCATCCCAGCCCTGCTGCAGGACAAGCTCTCCCAGCTGAATGTGCCTGACTCCACCTTCAGGTGGTGCACTTGACGGACAGGAAGCAAGTTAATTTGGGAAAATATCTCTCTGACTCCAGGACCATCAGCACCAGATCCTCTCAGGGCTGTGTTCTTTCCCCTCAGCTCTTCTCCCTGTACACCAACAGCTTCACCTCCAGTCTGTCAAGCTCTTGAAGTTTGCGGATGACACCACCCTCATTGGGCTCATCACAGGTGGGAATGTCCGCCAACTGGTGGGAGATGACCATCTTGTATCCTGGTGCAGCCAGAACAGTCTGGAGCTCAACGCTCTGAAGACAGTGGAGATGATTGTAGATTTTGGAAAGAGCCCAGTCCAACCCTCCTCTATCATCCTGGGTGACTCCGCAGTCGCCACTGTGGACTCCTTCCGCTTCCTGGGCACCATCATCTCCCAGGACCTCAAGTGGGAGCTAAACATCACCTAAAAAAGGCCCAGCAGAGGATGTACTTCCTGCGGCAGCTGAAGAAGTTCAGCATGCCAAAGACAATGATGGTGCACTTCTACACCGCCATCATCGAGTCCATCCTCACCTCCTCCATCACCATCTGGTACGCTGCAGCCACTGCCAGGGACAAGGGCAGGCTGCAGCGTATCATTTGCTCTGCAGAGAAGGTGATTGGTTGTCAAATTCCATCTCTCCAGGACCTGTACACCTCCAGGACTCTGAGGCGTGCAGGAAACATTGTGGCTGACCTCTCCCATCCCAGACACAAACTGTTTCAGTCACTCCACTCTGGCAGGTGGCTGTGGTTTCCGATGGCAGTGGGCTTGCTCAACAAGGCCCAGGTCCCCACTGTCACTGACTCTCATGCCCCCCTCCCCAAACACACACACACACACACACACACTCCTGACCCCACACTTTTGCACTTTTTAACGATTAACTGTGCTTTATGCTCATGTTGTCATTATTTTTGCACATACTTGTCAGCATTGTATTATAGTATTATTGTAATTTTTGTATACTAGTACATTTTTTGATCTCCTTACTTTTTATATATTTATATTTCTGTTTATGTTCTGTAAACACAAATTTTTACCATGGCAAATTCCTCATAAACCTGATTCTGATTCTGACCCTGCTGTCTGCTCAGACACTTTGCAAAGATGGCAACTTCACTATGAGTACAGGGGACATACTGAGTGCACTTCACTGGGGCCAGCTGCTGCTAAGCTAACTGCTCATTAAACCTAAACGCCTTATCTTCTACTTCTCCACATGTTAAAATAACACATAAAACATGTTACATACAACATGTTGGTTACAACCAGCTTAATTTTTTCCCTCGCTTCTGCCTGCAGGACAGTGTTTGCCAAATGACAGAGTCAGGGATGAACTTTTCTGTGAGTCTGAACCTAAGTCCTCAAATATTCTTCCCCTGGTGCTCACCTCATTCACATTCATAAAAATTGTTTATAACTGATTATCTCTGTTTTTCCGTTTTACTGTCAGAGACCGGAGATCTCCTCCATCACTCCCAGTGTCGTGTCTTTCTACGGCAGAAACCATGTGCTGTTGTCCGGTCGTAACCTTAGTGGTGTGACCAGAGTGAGGATCCAGGCAGACGTGGACTGCACGCCACAAGAGTGAGTCACTGTATGGGCGACTAAGATTATCCTTACACTATAAACGACAAATGACATCAAAGATAGCAGTTATTATAGCTGATGTTTGTTTGTTTGTATGTTTGATGTTAAGGCAGATTATGCTGCTACGCTTCCGGCTGCTTTCATGGTGTCAGCATATTTTTGTTGTTGTTGTGTTCCCTACGTGAAAAAAGAGTGAGTCTTGATCTAACTGGTTTCTGTCTCTCATCCTGTATGCTCTGGTCAGATCTCCTGTATGGAACAACACTGGAGTGAATCTGAATTCAAGTCAATTCTCTCCCAGGATTGGGGATCGTTAATTTTTATTGGTATTGATACCCTTATTGAGGCTGCTTAACGATCCAGTTCTTTATTAATACCGCATTATTATTTGGTGACGGTAAGACCAGCCCCAACAAGCATGAGGTAGGCCTGCACAGTATGAGGAAAATATTCAATGTGCGATAACATTGTTATATATTGAGATGTAATATGACTTGTAATAAATAAACAGATATTGAAGTGTGCATATTAACTGCCTGGTTGTTTTAAAATTAATTATAGGATTAGAATTTAATATTTCACTATATAAACTGAATATCTGACATCACAATACTGAGTGACGTTTAGAAATCAGTCAGTATCAGTCCCTCCTCCTCCTCCTCCTCCTCTCTGCTGTTATTCACAGCCTGCAGGGAACATTACCTAGTTGAAGGAGGAGCGGCTGGTTTGTCTCAGCCAGCAGCTGAGTTTTTAACAATGTTCCAAATTTTAAGACCACAGACCAGTCTATGCTACAGCTTTCTATTAGCTTGTTGGTAACATTGCAAAGCTAACGTTAGCTATGCTTGTAAAAAACATACAGGATGAGAGACTGAGGACAGAGCAGTTTAAAATGAACCCTTTCTATATGTTTACCTTACACACAGGTGTACTGATGAAGTATTGTCTTTTTAACAAGCTTAGCTGTCGGCAACACGATTAGTTGCCGTTCTCAAACACGGAAGGCCTGGCTTGCTTTATTTGACAAAGTATAAAGCACAAATTCACCTCTTGATTACTGTATCATCATTAAATAAACCCCCCTAGGTGACCTCTGTGGTAATTCAGCTCCCGGTAGTACCTTGTCAGGGCTCTGAAGTGGAGTGGACCCAGAACAACTCTCATCACCTGTTGGCGGTAATGTTAAACACTAGCAGGACCTAAGTTACATCACCGTGTTAAAACTATAACTTAGCACAACATCACTGCGCTGTAATAACATTATGCTTTATAAAATGTCACATAATTAACAAAATAGCTATATAATGTCAGTCCAGTGACTGTTACCTGACAGCCGACCTGCCTCTCATTCTCCGGTGCCGGCAGTCACTCACCCTGCCGAGTGAACGAAAGACTGAGGAGGACCCATGTGAGCGGTGAAGGAGTTGTTCATTTGTCACGTGACAGCTCCTACTGTGGAGCAGGAATGAACGACTCAGACTTAGAGACCCACAGTTAAGAGTCGTGAACTAATCAATTCTGTTTCCTGTGCTGCCTGCTTACCACAGCCCTGTAGCTGAGCTGTCACGTGACAAATGAACGACTCAAACAGACCCACAGTTGAGAGTCCTGAACTAATCATTTCTGTTCCTGTGCTGACGGAGCCCATGCAGCTGCCGTGTGACGAGTGAATGTAAGAGTCCAAGATCCTTCACGCATGCTTGAACATGAACGAATCACACACTGAGACAACCCGTTCCTCCCGAGTCATACACACGATTAGGTCTTATGAACGAAACGTTCTTTGAACGACACAACACTGATGATAAACCGTCCCGGGCCTGTTTGAGACCGCGTTTCCATGCCATCAATAAATAAACATTAGTTTTCTTATCCATCGTGTTTCAAGATAAATCAGAGTTGACGCTCGAGACATTATTACATTATAGGACCCGCTGGTCTCGATAGCAGTATCGATAAGTTTTGAGGAATTTTGGAACCGGGTCCTTTAAGAACCGGGTCTCAATCCCCATCCTTACCCAGGATAACTGCCAAACAGCCACACAGTGACATCTGATCTCATCTACATATTTCCAGCAGCAACTGGGCTGTTTGGCAGCAGAAAATGTTCCAAAAAACTGACATGAAATGATGTTCATGTCCCATTATAATATTTACTTGTGCTACTAACTGTAGGTGTGTGTCAGTATGAAAACCCCCTGCTGCTCTGTGTCCTGTAGTGGGAAGAGGAAGATCACACTCGTGGGATCTCACCTGGAGTTTGTGGAAGGGATCATGCACAGCCACGCCCCGCAGGAAGTAAGACTTCCCAGAAACAGCAGCTATCAGGTGGGACTCTCTTTCTATCCACACACACACACACACACACACACACACACACACACACACACACACACACACACACACACAGTCAGGTCCTCTTAGTTTGTTACATTAATTTTGTCATGTCATATCACATCAGATTATAGTACAATGGACTATGTCACATCAAACAGTCCCATGTCAGTCATTTTATAATTTAAGTCATTTCCCATCATGTTATATTACAGTGAGTTTTGCTAGCTTGCAAATCTTTTGCAAGTTAGACACTGTTTAATATGGAACCTATAGGAACTGGTCAATGAACAGTAATCTTTCACATTGTAGTCGCACTGGTTGAAACATTCCTATCGTAATGAGTGAGGATGACTGTGGTGCAGCTGAAACAATTAGGCCTAAATGTAGTTTAAAAGTGAGTTTTTCATTATTACCTGCTCATAGTCTGAATGTGTTATGACAGCATTAATAAAATACATAATGTACAAGATTTTATAATTTAAAATAGACATCTAAATTTTATAGTCAGTTTGAACCTATAGACACATTTTCCACTGCAAAAAAATAATTAATAGGCTAACCCACTGGGTAGACTGTGACTTTTCAATCACAGGTCCATGAGTAAACTGTGTCTTATATTTGATCTATAGGTAGCTGATTGCCACCGGGATTTAGTTTTAGAGCCTATCATAGTCCGCGGTGGCACGCATTCATATTTCTAGCTCCACCCGATTAAAATGGAGGCTCTACCTTTATTTACCCTTTGCCATAGTGAATCATAGTATTTGTGCTCCGTTGATGATGGCTTTTTTCATCCCCACGCACGCGCTTCCATCAGGTTCAACAATACAGAGTTTATTGAACTTATTCTGATCAGCTGTTCCGGAACAGTTTCCCACCTCAGGCTCAATCAACTCAGAGCTCAGGGATAAGCTCAGAGTTTAAGCCTGCTTTCTGAAACGGGACCCTGTAGCCTACTACGAAGCGAGGTAACTGGCTTATCCGTGTAACACCAGGAGTAACTTTGTGACGTCGGGTGTAACTTCCCGATTAACCCGTAGTCTACTACGAAAGGTGGATAGGTGTTCCCCGAGGTCTGTTGCCATGGCAATTTACGCTGCATCTTTAAACTGCTCTGAGCAGGTTATGTTTGTGGTTAGCCCTGCAGCCTCTATGATTTTATGGAGGAGATCTTTATTAATTAACGGGACAGTTTCTTAGATGTAGCCCATCTGTAGGCTATAATTGAATTATGTTTTCACATATTTAGATTGACTATTTTATGTGTCCAAAAATACCAGGTGAGGGTTAATAAACTGAGAAAAAAAATTCTAGATGAAAGTGTGAAATTTACAAGAAAAAAAATCAGAATAGTCACAATAAATCTAAAATCACTCTGGTGTTTTCCTCTGAATACGCCCAATCCACAGCAAAGTCTCTAAGGTGCATCATAGTGATTTGGGGCTAAACTCGCAAGTATTTCCTCACTGCTAAATCCATCAGAGAATATTCAAGTTGTTTACTTGTAGATTAATCTTGGAAATTAAATTTTCTTGGATTATTGCCTCTCTCCGCTGGCTCATTTTTTCTTACAATTACAATGGACCTTATGTGCAGTTGTACCTTTACATCTTAATCATATTACACATAAAAAAAGAGACCATTAAATACAAAATAGAGATTTTAACTACAATAACAACACTGTGAAGATAATTACAAATTTACTCAATGCAATGCCAACAAGCCTCCCTGGCTTTGTCGGCTGCCACAGTATTAGATTTGGCCGTCATTGTGTCTTTAAACTCCTCATATCCTGACACAATCAACGGTTGTTATGAAAAACTGTGCCTGCACAACACGGCACTTTTATGCGAAGGCACACCAACTCCAATTAAGTTAACACTGGGTTATCACCGACTCAACTAACCAACATCGTATTCACTATTGTAGTACCATTTAACATCAGTGTAGGCGGTCAGAGTTTGGCAACCCTGAGTTTGCTTGATAATCCTGAAGTAACTGTGAGTAGATTGAACTCCCTTCATAGTACAGGCCACTGGACTGTCACCTCTATGGCATCGATTGTAAGTGACACGTTTATATTTAATTCCCTACCAACTGACCACGTTATTCAACTCACTTAATATGTATTAATTTTACTTGTGCGCAGGGGCGTTTCCAGACTCTTGAAACATTGGTGGCTTAGCCCAGCCCAGAAATCTTTCATGTTTTCACCCCGCACCCCTGTTGCGCCCTACCCAAAGTACATCTATAAAGCAACACTGCTGATAATTATTAACACTGATAATATTAACTAGTGGGGTCTGGGGGTCCTCCCCCTGTCCCCCCCAAATTTTGGCTTTAAACACTTATTTTCACCTCAATGATAAATTATTTTAATTAATCTGAATTCAGTTAAGAATTATTTATTGACTAAATATTCAAGAGGGGGTGTGGATGTCCTCCCCCCAGAAGATTTTGAGCATTAAACACTTAATTTCCTGAATTTTGGAGACATTTTCTGCACCAATTTAGGGTGGAAATGTCTTTATTTTTATAAAGGGAAGGACAAAATTTAGGTGGCAGGTGACAATTCACAATATAAGAAAATAGAATGTAATGCAGTAATCAGTAGCTTATTCTTTTTTTAGCTTATATCTATATATCGGTTATTTTCGCGCATTTGGGGAATTGTTTTATTTTTTTGGCCCACAACACAAGAAACAGCTCGAGCAGAGGGGGAGGGAGCGGGGACTAGTAAGAGATGTGATTGGGCCGGCCCAATGTCAGTATAGGCCTGCTTTATGGGCCGATCGTTCGTCCATTTTTTAAAAACAGTTAGGCCTACATAAATAAATAATTTCACTTGTAGCCTACTTGATGAGACGAGCACACTGCTCTTCATCAGAGGAAGAAAACCGAAACTGAAAACACATGTGATCAGACATAAATATCACCACAAATGTTCACTTCAGCACCTCCGATAAAGTGCAGCTCACAGCTGCTTTAGAAGTAATGAAGTATCCTTGAGACAGTAAAACAGTAGTGTCTCAGAGCAAGGGGGACAGAGACAGCAGGACACAGAGCGTCAGGTGTCTGTGTCGCAGTCAGGTGTCGTGATATTCTCTCACTACTTTGCGGCGACTGTTAACCGTTAATACATTGACTAGACACTGACCGACAACATTTATATTTAAATGTATTGATTACAATTTTGCTAGGGACAGTTCAGAAGTTGCAGACAAGCCCTGAAGCTGTGAGCAATGCTCCCTCTCTCTCTAAATGCAAGCACGCTGCGTAACGGTGGGGGTGGTTACATGAAATTCAAAAAAATTTAGCAGTATTATTGCGAGTATATAGCCTCCGCTCTATGAAGACCTGCAAGACAGGCTGCATCATGAAGATTATTGCATATTAACATGGAATATATTTTGTTGCTGTTGCTGAGTTACATTCGGGGCTACAGTCAAAACATGACCAAAAACAAAACAACAAACAAAAAAAATTACCTGGCAACGCCAATGCTTGGGCATGCAAAGCTGGGTGGTGATACCGCCAGTGCTGAATCAAATTTGATGTAAAGTTAGATATTCGCTCGTTAAACAGAAACCTTTTAACAGGAGATCCATCATCTACACTAACACACACACACTGACACACTAGTCAGTCTTGGTGTATCCGAAATTCTCTCACACTGCCGACTTCTGCTGTTTCCTTGTTGGAAATAAAGCTTCACAGTGCCATAGTTAAGCCAGTGTGCATCCTCCATGTCTCTGATAAGCACGGCACTTTAAGCTGCACCACTCGTGACACTTGCGAGTTGCAACAGTTTCTTTCCCTGCAACAGAAACTCTCGGCGTAGCGGAGCTTTTACAATTAATTAACCGTGAAGTTTTAAAGCATAGTTAATAGTGAAATCCGGTAATTGCTGCTTCCATACTTACTACATTGTGCATTTTCCCTGTCCCCCAAAGTGGCGGCCGACAATTTGCATTATCAACCAGGTGAAATACAGGCAGCCTCAGCTATGAAACAGTTACTGCTCCACCAAATGACCCAGCAGATTAGCCCCCAGTCTTATCAGACTTCATGAGGAGTGAGTTAGTGTGTAGAGGACCATTAAAACCAGCCCTTGATTTTCCTAGAAGAATTTTCCATTCAGGCTTATCAAAGGGGGAGGATTGTGGTGAGAGCATTGCGGTGTCAGGTGTGACTGTGCAGCAGACCAGCTCTGTTTTCACATTGTGAGTCGCAGCCAGTTTGTGACCGAACGGAAACAATATAAACATCTAAAAAGTGAAGCCAGCCTTGCTCAGATTGGGACTGTAAGCTGCACTTTAGCAGCGGTGCTGAAGTCTCTGTGGCTTTGTGGTGACATTTCTGTTAGCCCTACACTGCAGGGTGTAGTACCCTTTAAACTGCTGACAGTCAGTCGCAAATGTAACTAAATGTGAAGTCAATAGCCAGCTGACCCACAGGAAATGTGTTTGACACTACACCTTGTCCAATTCCCAAAGCTGTGATTGGACAGTTGATTTTTATTTTACCGTCTTTAATATCTCTCCATCAATAAAAGGCTTTCTTTTCTTTGTTTGATTAGTTTTTATGTAGGCATTTTAAATCTTTCATTATAATCCTCACGATTTCAGTCTTCATGTATTTCTTGTCATCATGGTTACTGGAGGTAACAGCAAGTGTGGTTTAATACTACAGGAAACACTCCTTCAGTAGATAATTGTTCAGAAGTACAACAGAAGAGCGACTGTTTAGCGTGCAGCCAAATAAACTCACATTGTTTTAATAAAGAATTCAGTCAGATTTCATGGTGAGTTACAGCAGTACAGCAAAAGAAGTAGAACCCACTGCATGTAGGAGTGTTTTTGCTGAGTGATCGCTCTCAGCACTCAGTGATCTCTGTGACAAATACACTGCTTTTTTGTAAACGAGAAGTGTAAAAAGAGTAAATAAAGTAAGCTTAATGAGATAAAACTGTGGTGGATTATATGCATCGTTTCCTGTGATAGCAATTTGAACCCACCGCGAGTATAGCAGACTTTACCACTCACATTGAAATGTAGGCCTTCTACTTATTTGATATTATACAGAATAATGTAAAAACGTTACATTGCTAATTAACAGTATCAACAACAGGGTTTGATTTTATTTTTACAATTAAATAGAACTTTAAATGACATCAAATAATGCAATGTTGCAATACATTGTATTATTTGATTTTATTGCTGAATCAACTCTATGACACACCTGCGGCTGACAATATTTTTACAAGCACTGTGTATTATGCCGTATTCAGTCACATTGCATTGCTTAGTTTGCCATGCCACCATCATCATCATGTCATGCTATGCCAAACAGAAATTATATCATATTATTTATTACACTGATTTTGTTTTTTTACTGCAGAATCTCATTTATGACACACCTGCAGCTGGAAATACTCAAGGGATTTTTACAAGCACTCTGTCTCTGAAAGTAGCCAATGAAACTTTGGCCTGCTCAACAACAGTAACCTACTATCCAGATCCTGAGTTCACCAGCTTCACATCCTCAAGGACACGGGATGGTGTCCGCATCACCACAGAGGTACAACATATTTCCCACACACATATGACATTAATTCATAAAAGTCAGCATTTGTCTCTGTTGTCATTTTAGAAAAAGGCAGACAAACTGGAGATGACAATTGCAGAGTTGTCAGTGTGGGGCGTTCATGACAGAAAACAATACCCCTGCATCATGGAAGTCAAAGAAACTGACTTTTTCATCTGTGAGATTCAAAGGCCACCCGACGCTACATTTCAGCAGTTAATGGTAATCTTTTATTCTAACTGCAGCAATCTAAACATTACTATACAGAAATACAGCTCAACTTTATTGTGATTGAATGTGTGATTTCAAATAGTAATCATACATACAGTCAACATACGTATGTTGGACCCACTGCACTGGTGAGACATCTCTCATTCCTTAACAGCAGTGCAGCTATGATGACAAAGTTGAATCTAATCTAATGTATCTGTTGTTTTCCAGATAAAGTTTGGTGACAAGACAGTAACTCTAGGGCCTCTGTCTTTACATCAGGTCCTCATGATACTGCGTTTGCTGCTGATACCCTTTGTTATTGTTGGTAAGTACACTGAGCTTGACTGATAAAGTGATTTTGGTCCAGTCAGTGTCGTCGCTCTCTGATATACATGATGAAGTCTGCATTTATTGCATCAGTTCAACACCAGCTCTTTATGTGAAAACCTGACCTTTAATTTATTTTTTACAATTGTCACTGGGTATCACTACAAAGTTATAAAGTTGTTTGTATCACCTCATGCTATACACACAGAACTTAACAGATAATTAAATGTGTATTAAGCATGATGACATTTAAAATAATTAAAATAAAATAAAACAATATATACAATTATTTATATGAAGGCTATGTACATACACATATAGATGCTTTCAACGGTAACAACATAAACAAACGGTACTCCGCATGTGCATTACTCTGGCCCAAACTTAACTTCCGGCAGACTTCCGCAAACAATGCATAAGTAAATAACCTTAGCTAGTATTTCTCGGAAGTCGAATAAAAGAAACGTTACTTGGCCAAACTGAAATGTGATAAAGGTCACAATACGAGACCCGTTGAATAAAAAATTAAAATAAGAGTTTAAAAAAAATAATAATTTAATAAAAGTTTTTCTAGCGACCTGTCTGATTTACCGCAGTGTTTCCCACAGAATGACAGCGTAACTGTGGCGAGCGGGGCGGTGGTGGGGGATCTCTGACACTGACAGCGTGTTGGACGGATTTGTGCAGCAGTGTTCATGATACTAGCCATTCAATACACAGACTGGTCCGCTGTCAATGTGTTTGCGGGAGAGAGAGGGAGCGAGTGAGAGGAGGTGCTGAGCGAATATGCGCTGCGGGCAGCTCTGCAATAAAATACAAATTTTCCCATCTTCAATTGTAAAAACAGAAATCTATATGTGGTAGTCAGCGCTGCTAATGTAGTGGGCCACAACAAATAAATGAATGTATGGGAAACACTGTACTGGATATCACTCACTGTCGTGACTATGCCCTATATTTAGCCGCTACTGGTACAGGAACTTAAATTGCCTGAGGCCAGCATCGGCCCCACAACACAACACAACATCATGCGTTGGCAGTATGGCTCCTACACTCACCATATTAGTAAACACAAACCCAGTAATAAACAAACAGAACGGAAGTTATCTCCGGCCGGGTGAATCACCTTGGCAACGCATCCGATGAAAGCATCACACATGCTACACCCAGAACATTCTGCAGTGCATTTTTTTAATTTGCACCTGGTAGAATGTAGGCCTAAACAGCAGCAACAAGATGATAATATGGTTTCATCTTCAGATTTAAAAGTCTGACAGATGGGAACCAGAGTTAATCTTGACTGTGTTTGAACACAGCTCCTCACAGCTTGTCTTGCTCTTATAGCTCAGAACACGGACTGCGCACCGAGTGCTTGATCCGGGATGTTGATGGGGCAGGTCTCTGAGATGTGGGCTGAGTTCAGCGTAGATAAAACGTAGCAAAACATTTTTTTCAACGGAAGCGGTGGTTCCCTGAACACCCTGCTGTGTACGCAAGCGCACTGACTTTTCCTGCCTTTTTAACACCATTGTGTTTACAAACTTTTCGCAGCTGATTGGGTAACACCTCAGAAACGCCCACCAAACAGGAGAAAACATACCTCGAAGCCCGTTGCAGAAAGTTGCGCAACATTGCAAGGAAACATGTCGTTGAATCCGAAAATGCAAATCGGTTCTAAACATTTTGAGATTGAACTCACCCATGGGCACAACAGTCTCTAATTTCCGTTGCTTGGCCAACATGAGTCCCATTTTGTCCAGACCGGACGTTTAGGAGCAGACTTAAGTCAAAGCTGGGCCAATATGGCTCCCATCCCGGCTGTCTTTCCTCCCCTCTGAGCGGTTACCACACCCATAGGTGTAGCTGTTCGGGTCTTGTGGATCGTGGTCCGCTAAAGCCGGAAAAAACTGATGGGAAACAAAAGTGTAGCGAAGTTTGAAGGAGCTACGGCTGCTGCTTCTACAAGAACTGCCGGTTGCCATAGCAACAGTAAAGGCTTGTTTTCTACTAATTTCAACAGAATCTAGGCATCCCATGGTGGAAAAAAATACTGAGACACTTTTCCACTGTGACAGGTGTAGTACTGGAAGGAAGACAGAAACTGCCTTTATGAAGTTCAAGAGTCAGATTGTGCGACTAAAGCCTGCAGGCTGAGGCAGGCAGTCAGCATACAAAACAGGGAGAGGGTTGTCAGAACAAAATGCAAAACAAGAACAAGACCGAAGTGATAAGGCAACACAGACAAAGATTGTCAAGATGTTGATTATCAGTCTATAATATCATCTGTTGGCTGCTTCAATCCAAAATCATTGCTATTAGCCTTAAAAAACATAAGACTGTTTTCTTTCCATTGCTGTTTTACGGATTAAAATTTGTCTGTCTTTTTTTAAATCAGTAACTGTGTTTGTGTTCCAGCGTTGGTGATTATCTGTCGATGGGACAAGAAGCTCACTGCTGAGATGAACAGGCTGTGACCATGAGGTTAAACCTGGAGACCTTTTCAACTCCATTAACAAGATGAACATAATGCCTCATTTTTATTTTCTTCTCCACCCGTGGGTTACTGGAGTAAAGTTCACTCTTTGGTCTCAAAATCATGTAAATGGAAGAAACTTTAACTGTACAGTGAGTGGAGGAGGGCGTAGTCTTTAGTAACTAGTCTTTAACTCTATGTGACTAAAGTGTTTTAATGAAGAAGAATAAAGCATAGTGAGAGAAGACCCAAATACATCTGGCCCAGTTAACCTATTTTTCCACAACAAAAACTATCTGGAAACTCCATTAAAAAACAAGAGATCCAAAGGATATCAGAGGGAAAACCAAAAAATATTTTCTCCATAAAATATGATGCAATTTCACCAAAATCAGTGAGTAAAGTTAAAAAGTTGTGTTTACAGTAATCAGTGAGGCCTGGCCCCCAGAAACATTCCACTGCAGTGTCTATTGTTTTTCCAACCTAATTCTTGTCTCATTTGTGGTCTGACAAACAGTAAATTCATCAAATTCAGTGGCCCATATGTATATTTTCCAAGCTACTGCAGCTGTCATATGCCACCATGGCTCATGTCATACATGGGTGTGGTTTCATCTAAAATCTAAATGAAACTTTCTCATACCCACTGGTAGTTTCTGGTGCATAAGAGACAATATTTCATGGACACCATTTTGCCCATGTCCCCTTAGGGGTAATGGCCCCTGTGTTGTTGTTTTTGAATATTTTTCCAGACTACTCTCCACCTGAATAAAGGGCAACAAGTCCAGAAAGGGCACCAGAAATGGAGCCGGGGCGAATTGGCAGTGGAACCAGGCTCAGCAGCCTCCCAGTGAACCAAACACAGTCTCCGAGGCCAACGGAGACCAGTTTGACAATGGGGAATACACAGTTTACATTGGCTCTGACCAGTGGCCTGTACTATGAAGGGATTTTAACCTATTCAGAGTCAGCTGTTATCAGGCAAACTCAGGGTTGACAAACTCTGACCGCCTACACTGGAGTTAAACGGTTAGAAGTGGTACTACGAAGGTGGATAAGATGTTGGTTAGTTGAGTCCGTGTTAACTTAATCAGAGGTGGTGCGTGTTCGCATAAAAGGGTGGCCGTGCAGGCAGTTTTTTCGCAACGGCGCATGCTTCCTATTTCTCCAGATGAATTAAGTTGCTTTGGAAAAAAACGGCCCATATTCACACCCAGACCCATATTGAGGCTACTTAATCCCTAAAATGTGATAATACAACACAGTAAGATATATCGGTATAATCGATGCTACAATGTAGTAACAAGCAAGAAACCTAAAAAGGATTAAAAACTGATAACAGAAACATAGTGAAATAAGCAGCAAGCAGAGATGGGGACTAGCCTACACCGGTTTGAGAGTCTGGTGGTGTGTTGACTTACTGTAGCTTATAGTTTAAGCTGTCAGTGATTGCATTGCACATTATGGTTGTGCTCTGTAAGTTAAAAACAGGTTACAGTTTATTGATTTGAGAGTCAGGAGGATGTTGACTTACAGTAGTTTATAAGCGGTCATTAATTGTAGACACAATGGCCCTCATTTATGAAAAGTGCCTACACCAAATTTCCAGCGTACACCTGGCGTACACCCAAAACCACGGTGACTTTGAGATTAATCAATATGGACGTTGGCAAATCCTACGCCAGCTCAGGAGGTGGTGTACATGTAGCAAGTTTTGAGTTAGTGCGGAAAAGCGCAGAAACACAATTCCTAACACCACAAAACGCACGGACAAACTAAAAGATATGATATATTATGACCCACTGTAACAGAAACAACGTTTGAAACATTAATTTTGGTGTTTATATTTGAGCAACATGGACTTTATACAGCCTATATAATATGTGATCAGTCAAAACATGCTTTGATTTGTATTTGGACTATTTTATCGTAGCTTTAGGTGCCTTCTATTTGGGTTTGCTTTTAATAAAATGTGTACCTTCAAATGAAAAGGCTATGAGCAAAAAATGTTGGTAGGTAAATAAATACTGCATACTAACAACGAAGAGCATAAGCGGATGGCTTGAAGCACTGAGACTGGCTGCCGTAATGGACACAGCCCCACGCCCTTTAGGTGAGGCTGGCACAGACATGTCGCGCACAAAGCCCTGCATTTATTATAAGACAAAATTTATATTATGACAGCAACAGCGAGCACCGACACCCCCGCTAAAGGCCCCGCGTCCCCGGACTCTGGTGCACGCTTATCCCGGTTCATGTGTGAGTCCTGGGTCAGTGCGTGAAGCCCAGTCCCGGAGGTGATGGAGCAGCTTTTTATCAGAGCAACATACTTTAATTCGGAGCTTATTTGGGACTTAACTTTGATGGGCGTTTTAGCAGTGCTAAATCTATCTCTTGGAGCACCACAAGTAGCCAATTTATAATTCGAGGAACAGACAAAAACTTCTAGTTTGCACGGAACGCGCTCCACAAACAGACGTGGTGCAGCTCATCATTGTGTTTGGACAATGTTTCACTCTGAACATAAAAGAAAAGTTACAGTGAGTACTCACCGCGGATGGTCAGATCCAAGTCCGTGCGTAATAGTCCCAGGACAGCGCAGAGCACTGTTTCCCAAAGCCACAAAACATTATGAAGGCTTGCTTTTCACACTGGGGGTACACCGCCCAGTATCTGTCCGTATGTCCTCCGTTCATCAAAGTAAACGCTCAGCGAGAGGCTCTTGGCCCGTGCCCTGCTCCTCCGGGATGAGTGCATCCTCCTCTGGAGCTGACAGCGCGCACTGGTCCGCTCCAGCGAGGCTGACAGCGCACGGTGGTCCCCCTGACTACAGCACTGGCTCGCGGACTGGACCTGAACTGTTTATGGCTCATCTGACAGCTCGTATCCAGATTTAAGCGCGTTGAATATTTTGTCAAAAATGTGTCCAGTTTAAATCATCGAAAAAAAAGTATTAAATTGTTTCCAAAAGTATAATCTCGTAATATTAAAATGCACAATATTTTGGAACATTTATGCCGAGGATGGGCTCTAGTAGTGAAACTAAACATTTACTCTTTATTTAAATATGTCAAAACAACATAATATTTTGTTAAGTTTTAATTTGTGGATTTCCTGCTCCAAACCGTTTATTTCTTGCCGTATTGCGTCAGTCCCTGCCGTGAAGTCGTGGGCGCGGCCTCCTGAAGCAAAAGTTATTGTGGGATACAAATTATTTCAGACTGTATTTTCAACTTGCCATAAAATGTATCCCCCCTCCATAAAGCACAGATGATTCAAGTTGCCTTAACCTTTCCTAAGAAAAGAGAAACATCTCCATATTCACCCCTGTTATTAGTCATGATGTGAAGTATACACAAATTTAAAAACTTGACAGTAGGCCATCATCTGTGCATTATAAAGGGGGGATACATACTTTTTGTGTATGAAGAAGTTATGTCTATGAAGATTCTCAGTCATCCAGGTCATAGTTATCCAACGAAGGTTAAAATGAAGGGCAACTGGACTTGGTTGAAGCTACTGGAAGACGTTTCGTCCCTTATCCAAAGGACTTCTTCAGTTCTGACTGACTGGCAGGGAAACTCAGCTATTTAACCTCAGTGGGGTCGTTGACCCGGGATAACAGTAGCTTCAACCAAGTCCAGTTGCCCTTCATTTTAACCTTCGTTGGATGAAGAAGTTATGTTTAAATGTAATGCATCAATAAATTGTTATGATAATAATTTACCCTTTAAGGAGGGGGACAATTTCCAGCAATATCCAAAGGCCATGCAATGGAAACATGGATTACAAGGAGAAAATGTTGTCTACAATGCTGCATTCAGTTTAATGTACAGTTCGAGTCAAGGAGATGTAACGTTGAGGCGAGCAAAGTGTTAAACTGATTACAGTCATGTTGATACAGTATCGATAGCGTATGTAGGAGCAGCTTACTTGAAAAGGCGACTGTCTGAATCTAGCTTCTAAACAGTAACATGGATGACAAAGTGATCGACTATGTGGTCATTTATAACATCACTAGACTATCGCGAAATAAATGTTTGCTTTTGAAGCGAAACTAAATGCTCATCTTGTGTAGACATTCTCAATTGAGTGCAATGAATAATAGGCTACGAAGTTCGTTAATACATAGCCTAACGTAAGCCTGTAAAAATGTTTATAAGTGCTAGCTTGCTCTACACAAACTTCGTTAATAAAACAATATTAAAACGATAAATTAAAAAATTCACATGGTATATTTTTCATTCACTTTGTTGAAGTCGAAGGTCCGCCTTCACCGCTGAATGCACGCGCGCTCCCGTGGCAGGGGAAACACTTTCTGTCGGGGATAACTACCTTGGCACGACACCTGTCAAAATCGTCTTTCTTGGTAACTTAAGTTTGTTATTGTTAGCAAGACAACACAGTTTGTGTAAGTTAACAAAAGTTGAGCTCACTCTGGGTTTGGAAATATTTTCCTTGGTGGATAGCTCTGGTGTGCATTAGCTAATGCTAGCACGTGGATTAATATATTTGTTAGCTAACATTAGGTAGCATTTTAATAGCTTCATTATCGGGACAGCGACTTTCGTCTGCCTTATAAACAGTGTTGGGAGTAACGCGTTACAAAAGAAACGCAAATAACGTTACAGTAATGTGTTGCTTTTTGCTGTAAGGCAGTTTTTAATGTTACTAAAATTTCGGTCATATACAATGCACATGTCAAAACACATGTCCATGTTTACAGTAAGTTATCATTATTCCTGCCCATATAGTCTAAAGACATCACCACAGTTGTCATTTTTGTATAAATTCATTCTAAAGTTTAGCTGAAGCTACTATGAATCATCAGCTAAGGTTAAGTATCTGTGTTAGACTGTTCAAAAGTGGATATCTTCTAAAGGTACACTGTTTTTAGAGATTTCTCTTCACTGCAACCATGGAGGGGGATTATTACAGTGACCAATAACTCAGTTATAACAGCATTGTGTACACGGGTATGTGAGAATTGTTTTAAGACGCGTTTGAAATAATGTTTTTATGTACTGCAATGCCTGACCATACGATATAATAGCATTTAATGTTATGTAAAATACTGCTCAACTATGTCCATTTGTATGGTCATAGATCCTGTATTCAATTTTTAAAAGTTGAACCTACCCTTTGCCAACTTTAACCAACTTAATGCCAAACCCAGAGTTGGAATTTCCTGCCTTAGCTCAAGAAAATGTAATAAAGAATAATAATAAAGATTTTCTATAAGAAAAGAATTACAG